GCCCTTGTATGTTCCCGAAGAAGGTTAGAAGGAACATTGACCCTGATAAAGTTTCTTGTGAAACTTAAGAAATCAGCCAGAGGAAACATTTCAAATGTTAACCAAGGCTTACAGAAATGAAACTTTGTCTCATGCACGTGTGTTTGAATGGCATATGTGGTTTTCATGAGGAAGGGACAGTGTGGTAGATGATGAACATGCTGAGCGTCCCCTTGGGCGTCCAGTACATTCATCGTGCTTGAACAGGTTCCCAGTGGTCAGAATGTTAATCAACACTACTATATTGAAGTATTACAAAGACTTTGTGAAAAAATTAGGAAAGAAAAAGGCCACATTCGTGGAGTGATGGATGGCTGTTGTACCAGAACAATGCACCCGCTCACACGGCCCTATCTGTCAAACAGTTTCTGGTCAGCAAAAACATTACTGTGATGGTCTTCCTCCTTATTCACCTGATTTGGCTCCATACGACTTTTTTTTCTATTTCCTAAAGTTAAATGTTACTTAAAGGGAACCCCTTTAATCTCAGCTGAACAGTTTCAGGCAAAAACGGAAAATCTCCTGAGAGCCCTTCCAAAAAGCTCGTTCCAGAACTGTTACCAGCAATGGCAGCACTGAATGCAGAAGTGTGCGAATGTTGAAGGTGATAATGTCACAGAGAACTGATTCTGCAAGTACAATGATTTATTGGACCAGTCTCCCCTTTTTTTTTTTTTTTTTTTTTTTTTTTTTTTTTTTTTTTTTGTGTGTGTGTGTGTGTGTGTGTCACACCCTGTATATTATCTGTTGAAAACTTAATAGAAAGTTAAATTTCATGCTTAAAACAGAAGTTCTTACAAATTTACCTTTTGGCAACCCAAGTTGTTGAAGTTCATTTAAAAGGGAATCCTCATCAATTGCATGCTTAGATGAACTGGTAAATATAAAAGTCAGAGCAGCAATTGTTGCTTTCACATCACCTTTCTCTAAACAACAATGAAAAATTTTAAATATGTGGCAAGTATAAATCCATAATTACTTTTGAACATTTTCTAGCGAAACACAATAAATAAATATAGTAGTATACTGAACTAGGTCACATTAAAACACAGTCAATTTCAGATATTATCTCTGGATAAAAATATTTCTAAAATAATATTTTGTAAATGAAATTTCAAAATGTAATTTATGAATTTATCATGAAAAATTAAAGAAATTTTCTTTGAAAAAAAAAAGTGGTGGTAAGTGAGTAATATTGCATAAGGTTATGATATACTTTACCTTACAGATGAACTGACAAATGAAAAAATATTGGTTTACAACCATAAAATTAAGTCAGGATGTTGACTGAAACACCCTTCAATAATTAGAACATAATCTTTATTCTAAAAAATAAAATATATTCGGTAATATTTGCCTGATTGGAAAAAAAAAAAAAAAAAAAAGAGAGAAGAGGGACCAAAAGAAAAATACATTTTACAAAAGTTTTTACAAATCAAATTTAATTTCAGACATAAATTATTTCTCTCATTCATAAGTACTGGTTAACAGAGGAAGATACATCACATTCATTTCAATATTTTTGTGATATATAATGCAGTAACACTCATTTTCTCTTAAATAAGTATTTACTAAATTTGTTCAACTAGACGGCCATGCAATATATCATAAAACAGGAACAAAGAAAAAATATCTATTAGTGAAAGGATTTCCAAGAATTTCAGCATCAAATGTCCCCATTTTGGGCATAATCATGTGCTTTCCCGATGGAATTTGTAAATTTCAAAACTTTCACGTCATTTTTCAGCTGCATTGTTGGTTTAGTACAGTGTACATCATTGAGAGCTTTGGCATATTTATGCCAGTCAGTAACACAGGCTTTACTGTCTGATGTGGTATAATTACTAATATCCAAAATTATTAGAATTATTCTGTGTGGTGTATGGTCCGAAGAAAGTTTATCCAATACAAAAATATCCACTCGATCAACTGCTCTTTCTGAAAAGGAAGAAGTCATTTCTTGAGAAATCAGTAACATCATATTGGTATTTTTGGAACTACTATGCATAATACTGCCAAGTTAAATATTATGAATCCAGTGGTTTTAGAATTGTAACAGTTTCATGTGTAGTGTCATGCATTTAAATTTCCACTAACAACATGGTTTCCAAACAAGTAAAATGTCCAAGTCAGCAGTGACAGATGAGATGTCCTGACATGGGATGACATAAGTGGAGACAAAAGTGCATACCACAGAAGTGTTTGTAATAAGATAGCTGAGGGCTCAATGTCCAAAAGCTCTGGTATTGTAACAGGGTAATGGGGGATGCAGTATTTGCCAAGAAGTACTGTACCACCAATGATGCAGTTCTGAGCCTTCTTGCATTTAGAGGTATGTTTGAACGCTAAATACAATAGTTTGACACATAAATATGGGTATCAGGACCAAGCCTGTGTTCTTGAAGGAACATAAGATCAGGGACATATGCATTTTTAAAAGCCCAGAAATCTTGTGTTTTATGATATAAACCATTTGCAATCCATGTAATTACACTGATAAAATTATACATATTACTATGCATTATTCCCATTATTATTGAAATTGAAAATTTCTTCAAACGCTGCAAATAATGTAAATATTTTGTCTATGAATTAACCATAGCCTGGAGTTCAGGCAATTTTATAGATATTTTCTTAAATATATTACTGAATAAGTAACCACTGAACATGTTATTTATTTCCTTTAAAAATTTTATGATAATTATTGACTTTAATATCTACGAGTCTTCACTTCATTCAATAATTTATAAAATTAAAATTTTAATGAGATTATTGAAGTTTTACTTTTTAGATCATTTTCAATTTCAGTTACATACAGAAAGTGATACATATACAGACAAAAAGAAAAATGCTGATATATAATACCACAGAACAATAATAGATTAATATCCACATCTTTTAATTACACGTGCAAAAGTAACAATTTAAATTCTTAATGCAAAAAGCATCCTAATTACTCATTATAAATCAAGATAAAATATTCTTTCAGCAGTAATTGAATCTTCATTTGACATGAACTTTTACATACCTACATACAGGTTGATCAGGGCATAAGCCCTGATTTCAAAATTAAATATCTCTACAACAAAGATCAGTAGAGTTATGTGATAAACTGTACCCATTGTTTATTAGCAAAACTGTAAATATGGTGTACAAAAGTTTAGAAAATTTAGTTACGAAAATCGTTAACAGATGGCACTCTAATTGCAATGACCTATCAATAGCCTTTAAAATGTGCTTCGAAGTCGAAAGTGATCAGTACGACTGTTGGCTAGTGAAAAGAGGCTAGCGTAGAAAGTGAAATAATGTATTCCATTGAACGTGCTTTTTTGGTTCTGGAATTTCACCAATTAGGACACAGTCCTATAGCAACACGTTGCAGTTTTCAAAACCGATTCAATGTTCCAGTTGGACCCGATGTGAAAACTCTTCGCGAAACTCGAATGGACTGGCAAGCGTGGCTGATGATCGAAAGGGAAATGTTGGGCCTAGGCAAAACTGTAGTCACTCCTGAAAATGTAGCCAAAGTTTCTGGAATTGTTCAGCAAAATCCAAGGAAAAGCATCCAATGGATTGCATCAGAGACAGGTTTGAAGTACACGAACACGCAAAAAATATTAAAAAATAGCCTACGGCTGTTTCCATACAAAATCCAAAGTCATCAGGCCATACCCATGAAAGCTGTGTGACAAAAGGTTGATTTTGCGAATCAGATTCTAAAAATGATCGACAATGACATATTTGATGTGAGCTGCATCTGGCTCACAGATGAGGCACATTTTCATTTGAATGGAATTGTTAATAAACAAAACTGGAGATTTTGGGGTTCCGAAAATCCTTATTTGTGTGAAGAGAAAGAAAGCCCTGCATTCGCCTAAAGTTACCGCATGGGCTGCGGTATGCACCAGAGGTATTATCGGACCCTTTTCCGTATGAGAAACAATAACTACTGAACGTTACGTTACAATTTTGGAACAATTTGTTATCACTCAATAGCGTTGGAGGATCGCCAGTAGAGATGGTTCATGCAAGATGGGGCTCGACCACATCGAACAATAAAGTTTTCACTTTCTTCACGAATACTTTGATCGAGCAATTGCATTAGATGATCTGCATTTATGACAAAGAATAGCTAGTTCCATTTCCCCCCCCCCCGATCTGAGTCCTTGCACTTTTTTCTGTGGGGCACAATGAAGACACTGTCTAGCAAACCTCCCGCTATTCTAGTGAGTTTAACTTGATGGCGTTGCATGTGATTCCATCTGTTTATACTTCAAGACGTGATGTCAATTTATTTTCGTATACGCCACCTCATTGTTTGAATGTGACATTTTGAAAAATGTATTTGATTTCAAAGTCTGCCTTCATTTTATTTATTTATTTTTTTAATAGCTCCTTTCAGAGAAAAGTTTCAGCACACACACCATCTGTTACGATTTCATAATGAAATTCAAACTTTGTCACATTTTACCAGTTTGTAATAAATACAGTTCACTGCATAATTCTATAGATCTTTGTTGTAGAGATATTTAATTTTGAAATCAGGGCTTATTCGCTGATCACCCTGTACTTACCTAATGAAATCACTCGTATGAAAAATGACATTCACTTTACATTAATATGCCTTTTCTTACCGTATTTAGCATCAGCAGTGAGCTTGTTAACTTTATCAAACTGAAAAGAAATTAGATTGAAAGAAATGATTAGAATTGTCTGAAACAGACATTTATTCATTGCTATAATAAAAACCAAGATTTATAAATTCTAAAATAATGCAGAAAAAAAAAAAAATTAGGCCAATAAAATTCTGTTGAAAGCTACTTCGCAGCAAAATTCAAATATATACCAAAAAAGTCAGCAAATTTTAGCCAACTAGTTCTTACTTTTGTTGTATGTACTTGGCCAGCTACCCAAAAACATCAGGTTACTGTTTTAACACTATGCAAAACAAATTCAGCTTGGAAAACACAAAATATACCATGGGGACCAGCAATTTCATTGTCTTAAATCTGTCACTTGTTTTTGACTAACCCTTGGTTTCTAAATCCAAAAATAACCTCAGTTTTTATCTATTGCAACAACTTTTTAAGTTACAAGACACCCTCTCTGTCTCAAAAGTCATACAAAATCAGCATATAAAGCAAAAAAAAGGGAAAACTTATCAAATGTACTATTCATAATGAATAGTTTTATTCATAAAAAGGCTATATATAGTTGTTGCAAGTTAAATTCACACAAACAGTAAAGTTTTTTTTTAAAAAAACAATAAAAATACACATTAGACTTTTTCTATAGTGTTTAATCAGTGGACATCTTTGTTTGATGCTCCAAAAATAGTCAGCTGTTGTATCTACATTACATCAACTTTGGTATAATGCCACCAAGACTTTTAGATACGATTTGCAAATCCTACTCATCACTGACTACATCAAGATTTTTGGCAGTATAAAAAATGTAAAAAATGCAATTTGATGCTCATGTTGTAACCAAACAGCCTGAAGCTTTCCAAAAGTTGCTGGACAATTTTGCTGTAATTATGTGCTCATGTACTTCTAAGAAAGTCTTTTACAATGTTTCTAAATGCCAAAGAAGCATTCATTTGAAGTTATGTCAATGTTCCGGTAAAATGTTCATCTTTTCAAATGACAGGCTTGGAAATGCCAAAATGAGATATTTGAAACAGTCTCATTTAGCTGGCAAAGCTTTAACAAATTGCTTCCTCAGACCCCGTTTGACATGCAGAGAAGGAAATATAATGTTCTTTTTGCTGACAAGTGACTGTAGAATATTTGGATCATTAGATTTCAGGTCATATCTCATCAGCCTATTTGACTGCACCCAATGCTACTTACAAGCTCTGCTGTCCCCTATACACAAGATACAGTGACATGTAGTGTATCCACATCACTGGCTTAGGAGGAAAGAGACCATTTTAACATCAACACAGATGATTCATTAACGCATGTGATATTGCAACTAATCAATAACTCTCTTTAAGTCTTCATATTCTTCAGACAAACTGAATGCCTATTGGAACTGCACCAAATAAATTTCCATCATGGAGGAGGACACACTTCAAGATCTGCTTTGAGCTATCGATGAATAATCACCATTGAGTTGCATTATAGGCTGGAATTCCCAACTTTTCCATTAAGCCATGTACGTTATGGCAACACACAAGACCCATCATCACTTCGAAAGTATTGCGGAAATGCACTTTCTCTTGATCAAAAATAAGATACCTTAGCTCCTTTTTCGAGCAAGTTTTTCTTGTGCAGTTTTGATGCTAATAGCTCAGAAACTTTTTGGATAGTCCTAAATCTTGTGCCAAATCATTTAACTCATGCTGGTCACAACAATTATGAATGGAATCGTCTTCAACTTCAAAATCTTTATCATTTGGGTCAATTCAATATTCACCAGAATCGTATTCCTATATTTCCAAAGAGGGTAAATCTTTGAAAACTAGCATTGGGAGTTCAGTTGAGTAAGGCACTGAGCATGTAGCTGATGGTAAACTGGATACTCTATTCTACATTTATTTTTCTTGGTATATCTTGACGTTTTCACTATACAAAAGTAACAATCACTTGAGTGATCTCTGGGCTCTTGCCAAATCATATGTATACCAAACAGAAATTTAGAATATGTTTCCTTCATCCACATCCGTAAACTCTTAACTCAGTGCCAGCACACTTTGTGAGGGGCACGATTTACCTTGATTACCAATGATGCTCATCCTTTGGCTGGGAATAGTAAAACTGCCACATATATAACAAAACGAATTGGGGCTGTTTAAGCACTTACAAAATTGAAAAATGTTAATAAAAGATGATATGAAGTTTTCAAAACAATATGCAATGAAACTTTGATTATCTATCAATGTTGGGATTGTCAGCATGATGCATAATAGAACAGTTGGATAACAGAAGCACCTTCTCATACCATATCATATGTGCAGTTGATAATGAAAATCCAAAAAAGATTAGAGTTGAAATTGGTCTCATTATAGATTCATAACTTGCTTACAGTTATATACAATGAAAACATCAAATAAATGCAAAATAATTTCTATCCAATTTACCATGTTGTAGTTCCCCAGCATGGCAAGTATCAAAAGCCTTTAACCGCTTGCCTGATTATCCTGAGTTATCTCGGGTTCGTATATATTGCAGTTAATTATTATCCCGAGAAAACTCGGGCGAAGCAGAATTTGTTAGTACGATTTCTTTTATCACGGCTGCTTGGTCGGGAGGAAATGAAGGAATATTTCAGCTTCGATTGGCAGTTTGCCAAATTTTGTTGGTTGTGCAGTTCTTTGGAGGGACTTCGCATGTTTCGTATTGTATAGTATAGTTGGCTGTGGATTAGTAATGTATAAAGATGGATGCATGCGTTGGGAAAAAAATAAAATAATGTCGATGATGTAAGATAGCGAAAGCGATGATTTTCAAATAGTGACTATGAAGAGGTGGGGAAGTAAAAAAAAAAAAAAAATTCAAACCAACGAGACAGTATATCTGTGTCCGTGAAAGAGATTCCAGTGGTAAGCCAGTAAGAAAAAGAGACCAGTACCAGTGTAGAACGTCAGATATCATCTTTGTCCATTGTTTCAAAAACAATCATACAAAATAATATTTAAACTATTTTCGTTTGCCAGATAACGGGATAGTAAACCAATATTAAAAATAAATGCTTTTACACCTTCAAAAAATTAAAAATTCAACTTAAAACCTATATATTTTGATTTGTTTCGTTTTGTTGTATTTAATAATAAAATAAAAAAATGTGACGATTTTTTGCAATTTTTTCCAAAAAAATTTGTAAGGGAAGCGGTTAACAAAATCTCATCTGCATCGCTTTAAAACTTTTTTCACATTGTCAGTATACACAGAGAATTTTCTGTTAATGTTTCATGTACTGGTACGTGAAGTTTAACAAATTTTCCAGTAAATTATACATAAACAACATGACATTCGGCAATTAAATTTGCAATGCAACTTTTAATGGTGGGCCTTTTTTTTAAAGTTTTATTTTACAGTGCAATACTGTATTTTTTAAACAATACTTTAGCTTTTTATTTTAAGTATAGTGACAAAGAAATCACAGTTTACTCCATAATATAGCATATTTTTAATTATCATTTCTCTTACTAGCATTTATCCTTCTTTGATGAGTTTTTTTCTGTCTATTGAAGACCTCAGTAGCTTATGAATTGAGATTAACACAAGAAAAGAAAGTATGTGCATATATAACCATATACAGACAAATCGACGAGCAGAAATGCAAAATTTTTTCTAAAATACATTCATATAACATAAAGTACATGATTATATTTTTACTTTCATGGATTTTGCAAGTCATGTGAAACTTAGAATTATAAAGTATTTTCCTCCTCCCTTCTGCATGCCTTCATGGTGTTAACAGTAGCATACTCAGTGTGTATTTGAGAGGTCCAGGTTCGAAATGCGGCAAGGGCATTGCTCATTTTTCATGTCCCCTGCTTCTAAATAACCTAATGCCTCTACAGGACAATCATTATTTTACTGACTGAAACAACTTTGTTTTATGAAAGCATAAACTTAACGTTGATACATTGCTAGAGAAAATTAGGCAATAGCTAGTAAGATACATAAAATACAATTTTAATGGTTATTATTTATTAAGCCTCACTTCATCAGTGTAGTCAAAGAATTTTTAAATGAATTACTTCTGAATTAATATTATTCTCTTGATGAAAATGACATGTGCTTCATTCAGCTGTCTAAATTCATTACAAAATTTCTTCAAATTTAAAAAATATTTCAGTTCTGTCATTCCCAAATATTTGAAATTTTAATTGAAAAATTTATATATGCTCACATGAAACTTCCAACACATCTTCAAGATCAAATCTTTCAAAAAAAAAAAAAAAAAAAAGAACTGAAATACAGTACTTTAATACATTAAGTACAAGGTGTCACAAAAGCCTGCCTGCACAAGAAAATTACTTCAGCATTTTTTATTAGAATATGAAAATTTCTGGTAACTGATGGTCAAAAGTAATTAACAGAGCTGTTCCACACACTTTTTAATATGGAAATACTTGTTTCTATGGCTTGAATTATATTGTTATGATACCTTTCAGCACCTACACAGTTCTGTGTTAACGCAAGCGCCTGATTTATCCAGCATTCATAAAAGTAGTATAAATGTTTCAGACTGCTACTTTTAACAGAGGCAAATCTCCCAAGTTAATCCGTATAAAACAAGTTTTCATTTGATACTCTGTAAAACATTTAAGGGCTTATATAGTTTTACCAAAAAATTCTACTTTTATCCATAAACTATCTTTTCTAGCACACCAACATAAGAAGTAAATAACTTAACAGATGGGTGGCCAAAATTACGGGATTTCAATTTCCAATTTATTTATATTTTGTTACTACAAAACAAAAGAAAAAAAAATACAAACCTACAAACAACACTTCAATAAGCCACAATAGTAAGCACTTGAAGATAACCAATTAATGTTATTTATTGTCTTTTAAATTTGAAATAACAAAAGTTAGATCCATCTTTAATTATCAGAACACATTCTTTTTAGTTTATTTTTTTAAACAACTTGATTTCATGAACTTAAAAGGAATTGCTCTGACAGATAATTCCTCACAGTTTTTAATTCTTCACAAACA